CCATGCCCTTATCACTTCAAGATCAGAGGACTGTGTGTGATGTACTCTACCAGGGTTACTTTTTGAGACCACAGGAACTGAAGATGTTACTGAATGCATTGGCTAATTTTCTGAGTAGAGTTTTGTGCTGGCAGCACATAACCCCAGTGCTTCAGGTGTGAATTGGCTGCCAGCAAGTTTCCATAGGAACTCAACGTGTTGATTTAACCTTTAAAGACTGAAGTGGTTTGGGACCTAGTAGCCTAAGAGTCTGTTTCTCTCCATGTGCAGTACAGCCAGAACACTGTGGTCAGGGGAGGCTCTCAAACTGGAGCTCCCCTCAGTACAGAAGAGAGAGACCTGCACTTGCTTCCCCCTTGGTCTACCAGAGTTCAGATCGGATCATCTTCCAGACACACTGAAAGGCCCCATCTTTTCTCCCTGGCACTTGGGTAGGGGACTACTGGAGGGAAGTTCCTTTATGTGGTACATAGAAAACTGGAGGGGAGGAAATAGTTATTTAGTAACTTATGATGGAGTATTTAGTACATGTTTCTATTGGATGATGGAGATGGTCACATTTAACTGCTGCGGTGGTGCCCACAGGACAGCATAACTAAAGAGCTCAATGAATAAGATTCCCAGCAAGTGACTATCCCTCATATATCATGGATCCCATTTTCTAGTAACAATATAGAAGTGATGTCATAGAAGGGATGCGGCAATTGCGGCTGCCTCTCTAGAGCCCAGGACCAACCTGGTCCTCGGATGCCTTCCTCTCTTCATGGCTACACATTATTTTATTTTTCTCACTACCTCTCTCTTTTCCTTCCTGATTTCCCAGCAGATCTTTAAAACATGACCCCTCAGGCAACTCTGATGTGATTAGAAAGTTCACTATCTGCAAACACTTAAAGCGGCTAGCTGAAAGTCTGCATTCTGCAAGAATTCTCTGACTGCTCCAGCATTCACAGACAGTGTATGCTGAAGGGTTGTGGCATAGTTAACATGAATTCATGTAAATGGCTTCCAGAAGCAGGGAACCACTCCCATTACTGGTGCAATGTGAATGCAGCATGGCTACCATGTATCCAAAAGCTGTACCAAGGTCATAGCTTTTAAGGATGTTTAAGGGATCATCTAGTTATGATCATCTAGTCTGTCCTCCTTCAGAAAGGATCTCACCAGCTCTCAGGGAGATGAACACCACACCACTGACTCACTTCTGCACAGCTAGTTAGAGACACAGCCTGTTTATAAAAACAGCAATTGACAATAGGCCAAGTAGTATACAGAATTATTAAACCACTGAAACTGAGTAAGTGTTGTGCTAGGTGATAACTGGTTTGTGCAGTTTGAGAGTTATAAAAGGAAACTGAAAACAATGTGGGCAAGAAACCACACATACACTATTAATACTGCATCCTAATTTACATGATGGTAAGAAATTTAATAGCTTATGGAACACACTTAGGCCCTAAATTTGCAATCAGATCCATGAGGGCGGAAGGGTCTGCTTGTGGGGATCCATTTGTAGGATCAAGGTTAGTTTTTGCAATGGATCAGCACTGAGAAGTCCAAAGGAGAAGGCCTCTCCCAGGCCAAGAAAGGTCTGTGGGCCTTTTCTAGATAACGCCAGGTACACTAGCACCATTCTTACCAACATATGTTTTGTGCAGCCAAAACTGATGCTTAAGTCAACAGTACAAGGCTGAGAGTTTAGTTGGGGGGATAGATGTCAAATCTTGTATTACATTATGAACACTTCTTACAACCACAGAATCTGATACAGGAAAAGATTTTAGAAAAAGTAGTAATAAAAGCCAATTCTCCAGATGGCTCCCTTACAATATATGTTTTGTATATTTTAAGCTTAAAAGTGGACATAATTAACAGTATTAATAGGGTGCCTCATACCCAAAAGTCTATGGGTACCTAACAATACAAAACATGGAGACAATCTACCCCAATAACTACCAGCGTTGGTGTGGGGAAAAGATCATCTACTACCAAACTGTCCGAACACAATGAAAACATCTTTTATTAGCTTCAAATCAAAGTTTATCAGCCTCACACTTATTGTGGCAGTAACTACAACTAATGTACAATCTGGCAGTGTGTGTGTGTATATATAAAGAGAGACACACACATGTACGCACGTGGTATGTTTTGTTACTGTAAATATATTCATCGTGACCTGTAGTTTAGACTAGTGAATATGTCAAATTACACATTAACATTGGCATAATAGAATACAAAGATACATATGTAAGAAAGTGTCACCAATGTCCTGGAAGTAACCTAAAGGTGAAATAAAGCATGAACCAGACATACACTTCTGGCCTAATTTTTTTCCCATTGAAATCAGTAGCAAAACTCATTGTCCTCAAAGAAAGAAAGATTTGTCCCTTTCTTTATCTCATCTCCAAAGCACTACTGCTAGCCAGTCTGGGAACATAAGAATCGCCATACTGGGTCAGACCAAAGGTCCATCCAGCCCAGTATCCTGTCTGCCAACAGTAGCCAATGCCAGGTGCCCCAGAGGGAGTGAACCTAACAGGTAATGATCAAGGGATCTCTCTCCTGCCATCAAATGAAGCCATAACTCTTACAAACAAATCATTTCACCATGTAAACAAACCAAAAATAAGTCCATCATTCATAAATTATCATTGTAAAGCTCAAACAATTTGTTTCACAAAAGGAAGTGACTGATCATCTAGGGATATGGTGGAAATTAAAATGTCTAATGTCTGTTTTCATCCCTCATCATCTCTCCTCAATTCAATGGTCCATAGGCAAGTACTACATATACTGATATAGTGCCAGCCTTTTTCAAAGGAATTTGAGGGTGCTAAGCCTTTCAGAAAAATCAGGGTATTTACGATCTGGTTACTTATTATTCCTGTGTTGATAAGATCAATGACAGTTTCACTTTTGTACCAGTGGGGGGGAAAATTCAGAAACCGCTTTTTTCCACTTTTATAACCCAAAACCAGCCAAACCTTTTCCCCCCTAAAATGTTGGCTAAAAAGAGACTGCTGTCCATATCTCAGGAGGATTCATGCTTATTCATTCTCCATAAGAGACTTGTTCCAATCACTATTCAGTAATAGGTGTCTCTCCTTACTTCAAGATTCAGAATTGTTCTGAAATGGTTTAGTTCCTCTCTAAGCATCATATCACAGAAGATATACGAGTGTTAATAAGTACGGAGTATGATCAGCGTTTTTTTAGTTACAGTTCCTGTAAATAGCCTCTGTGAGCTATACCATCAGTAGCAATATTTCCTCATTTATTATGGTATATCTTTCATAATAGCTGTTATAGTTTGGTAATGTCTCTAGAATTGAACAGCCATTGCCAGAGGTTCTTTAAACTGAAATAATACCATTTCTAGCAAAGAAAAGTCAAAAGCCCTTCATAGTTCTTTGAGACTTGTTGTACAAAAGGAGAAACATTTATTTTGAATTACTCGTTAAAAAAAAAAACCAAAACCAGTAACAGGAGCTCATACTTGTATCGAGGGTGTGTAGACTAAAATAGAGCCCTTTATGTAAGTGGATTTGAAACACCCTATGGTAACCTACAACATTAACTAACGGTGTCCTGGGTACCGTCCAGCACAGAAAGAAAGCATAGTTGAACAGCCACGGACAAAAGGGGAGCAGAGGAGCACGGCACAATACACTAGGCAGCCTCATTTCTTCCCTCCCCCACTCAACCTACAACCAGCTCTCCCTAATGCAATCACTAACTGCCCTGGTGACACAGGATGGGTTTCCTGCGGGCCCTTTCACAAGGCTTTGTTTAAAACATAGACACCAAGAATAGCAGCAGCCAAGTTCACAGTGAGTGGAGCTGTCATGGCTTGGATTAGAGAGCCGGGGCTGGAGTGTGCCCTCTGCCAGTTTTTTGTTCCCTTGAGGAGGTGGCCACACAGACACACAGGAACTCTGTTTCTTCTTTCCACCATAATTTGAGGCTCTCTGCCCATTCTGGGGTTGTTAAGCTTCGGCACCAGCTCCCTACAAGAAACCTGCACCCCCACTTTGCAGCACAAAGGCAAATTGTTCAGATGATCACAACCCACCTGCACTAGACACAGGTGGAGAAGGCTGGGGAAGCAAAAGAAAACCTCCTCCCTGTATAAGAGAAAGCTGGACACAACACAAAGGGATCAGAGGGGTGGAGGGGTCACCACCCAGCCCCCTACCCACACCAAAAAAAAAAAAGCCCCTAGCCCCCCCCCCCACCCTCCCGACAGCCACCCCGCCTCCACCACCACACTTCACAACTCCAGGCCGGGCCAAGAGTCGACAGCTCTTGCCTTTTTTTCCTGCAGAAAATCTGTCGCTCGAAAGGATTAGCCTGAGAGATTGTCTCGCTGCTGCTTCCTCGCTAACAAGCCGTGTGGAATCGGGATAGCAAAGTGACAGAGGCGGCAGCGCCCGACTGCATCTTCCCCCTGCTGCTGGGCTTGTGCAAACCCCAGCCTCCGCCCCACACCTGCCTGCTTCTAGGGCAAGAGATGCAGGGGGTGGGGTAGGGGGCTGGACAAATAGGACCGCAGGCAGTAGCAGCAATTCAGCTCAGTCACAAGAAGGGTGGGCGCCAGTGCTGCTGGGACAGGAGGCTGCAGTGGGGAAGTCACACACACACACACACACACAGTGCACTCTTGCCGCTCTCCTGCGCGATTGCTGCTGGGGCACGAAATAGCCCGAAGACGCCGTGGCTTGCTGCCATTCATTCACCGCGGGTGTGGAGCAAAAGAGGGCAGGAGAGACCCAGATCCCCCACGTATCCTCTGGGTGCTGGGCCCTGACATCACACAGTGGCCTAATCTACAACCCCACCTGGGGCGGCCCTAGAGCTCTGACACCCCTCACCCCCGTAACACACCCCGCGCGGCTGGGTCCGAACCTGGTGCCACTGGCCTAAGTACCACCGCCACGTTCACGCCACCTCCCCGCCTTTGGAGCGATAGCGGGATGCCCAGGATGCTGCCGCCCCCTTACCCGTCTGCCGCTGCAGCCTCGGCGGGGAAGAAGAGATGCTGCTGTCGCCTCCGTGCCTGCGCCGGCTGCCTCCCCAAAGCGGGCGCCTCCTGCGCCCTGCAGCCTGCGCGGCTCCTGCGGCCGCTTGCATGGACCATGCACCGCACGCTTAGCAGCCTGGGCAGGGCGGCGGCCGCGCGCCGGGCATTGCTCCGAGCCCAGTCCCCTGCCCCGTGAGCCGCGCAGCCAAGTGTGCGCCGCTCGGGGCTTTCCAGGTGCGGAGGGGGGAGGGAGCAGCTAATCTAAGCACAAAGACGCCATTAAGCTTCAGTGGTTTTGCAGCCGCTGACTGGCTGCCTAGAAGCGGCCGCTAGGTTTCCAGCACGCGCACGTGGGCGCCCTCTGCAGACCCCACGCTCCCACTACAACTAGCGAGATGCATCCTCCCCCACAAGTCTCTCTCCTGTGGAGGCAGCCTCCCTGCTGCGGGGCTTGTTTGGAGGCCGTTTGGGACGTGTTTCCCTTTTGCCAGCAAGGCTGGTGAGGCATACCCTGTCTCCCACTTTTAAAACTGCCCTAATTCAAAGTGACCTACGTTACCATTCCCTGGGTCTCTGAACAGTGGTGCTGCTGAACAGTGGTCATAGAATCATAGAATATCAGAATTGGAAGGGACCTCAGGAGGTCATCTAGTCCAACCCCCTGCTCAAAGCAGGACCAATTCCCAGCTAAATCATCCCAGCCAGGGCTTTGTCAAGCCGGGCCTTAAAAACCTCCAAGGAAGGAGACTCCACCACCTCCCTAGGTAACGCATTCCAGT